TGAAAGAGACTGGTGTTATCAGCATACAAACTGAAATGAGATTCAAGACCTTCTCCTAGATCATCAATATAAATGAGAAATAAGAGAGGGCCCAGAATTGATCCTTGAGGGACGTCGCAGTTTATTTCCGAGAAATCAGACGAAACCATCGACAACTGTTCTTATTTTTCTATTATTTAGGTAGTTTTCAATCCACTTAACGACTTGTTCTCGTACCCCTTTTTGTCTCACCTTGAAAAGTATTCCTCTATGCCACACACTGTCGAATGCCCTTGAGAAGTCAAGGAATATAGGTCTTACAAAACCTTGTTCCTCAAGACCTTCATGAATATAGTGGATAAGATTTAACAGTTGATTAACACACAAGTCCTTTTAACGAAGCCAGATTGATGAACTGAAATGAGATTATTCGAGAAGAGATAGTTGTATAAATAGGTGAATATCACACGTTCCATAACCTTGCCGATAATACGAAGAAGAGTGATTGGACGATAATTTTCTAGTTTGTTTATATCACCTTTCTTATAGACTGCTAAGACAATACCAATTTTTAACGCGTCAGGAAAGATGGAGTGTTCGAGAGAAGAATTAATAAGATCGCAGATGATCGGAGCAAGAATAGGTGTAGCCTCTTTGACTATTCTTCCAGTTAATACTCCACTTACTGCTTTATTTGGCCTAATTCTTTCTGTTCATCACTTTCATTACATCAGCTGGGGAGACAGTTATCAATGACATTCTGGCTGTTGTTTTGTAAGAGAAGAAAGAAGTAGCTTATGTATTTGTTTAGGGGACATAGAACAGGCAGAAGCAAAATAATTATTAAAAAGCATAGCCTTTTCCTTTGGATCATCTGTGTTTTCTCCACTTGGGACAGTAATTGATGGAATCACATTAGTTTTTGTCCTACATAAAGCCTTATTCACCAGAGTCTTTTATGCTTTACTCGAAGAGGATACTTTACTGGATATTCTACTATAAAACTGTTTCTTTACCTCAACGCACGCCTTATCAAATGTAGCTTGGGCAGCTAAAGCTTTAATCTTATCATTATGCCTTTGGCTTATTCACCATTTTCTGTATAGAATATTTCTTTTTTATGTAATTTCCTAAGTTCTTCATTAAACCATATCCTATCACTTCTAGAGAGCTTGATGGCTTTATTAGGAGTATGAGACTTAGCAAGATCAAAAACTATACTCGTCACGCATTCTACTCTCTCATTGAGATTATTCGTATTTTTGAGAAGTGTTTGCCAAGGAACCAAGCTCAAATTATGCCTAAAAATTTCCCAATTAGCCGCTTTATAATTGAAAATGAGTCTTGTGGTAGATGGTTGTTTTGCTAAACAGGACGGCAATCGAAAAGATATAGCGCAGTGATCACAACTCGTAATAATATTGGGTACAACTTCAACATGACTAACACACGCTGGATTACTCACAATGAGGGGATCTAGTAGAGCGTTGGAAATTAGTCTAGTGGATTTATTTACAAGTTGAACAAAACCCATATTATTCACAAAGTCCCTCAACAGTATCATTACTATTCTCTTCAGTGACGAATATTCCATGTGCGAAATACGCTTAGTTACTTCCACTATCAAAGCTACCTCCTGTTCCGTGAGATCCATCTTCTGTACTGCTTACACATTTCATCAGTCGGATGTTATTGTAGTCCGAGGTGTAAACATTCAAGAATTTATCAGCATATAGTCCATATGAAGGCCTTATTTAATTCTAGATCGGTTTGCTCCAGTACCCTGCTATTATAATATCCTCTGATGCCTTCTAGGGTCAACTGTACGATATGAAAACTAGAAAAGTCTGCAGCGCAAATATCGTCTAAGCAAGGGAAACAGCTACTGGATAATTCGGTTGTGTGATAGAAGTACTCATGCTATCTCCTGACATTCAGCCTTTTGGGTGTTTGAATAAAAGAAAAGTAGGATAAAGAAGAAAAAAATTATTGGGATGTTTTATTAGACAATCCTGTTTTCGGTTTGTCTGCGTAACTGTCCTCTTTTTTTGCTTGTTTAGACAAACGAAAGCTCCAAAAAGGAAATCAAATAAATTAAACGTTTCTCTTTAAAATGAGAGGTGTCTCGACTCTTTTTGTTTAGATATAGGAGCATAGCGGGGTAGGGGAGCGAACCGATCTAGAATTAAATAAGGCCTTCATATGGACTATATGCTGATAAATTCTTGAATGTTTACACCTCGGACTACAATAACATCCGACTGATGAAATGTGTAAGCAGTACAGAAGATGGATCTCACGGAACAGGAGGTAGCTTTGATAGTGGAAGTAACTAACCGTATTTCGCACACGGAATATTTGTCGATGAAGAGAATAGTAATGATCTCTTCATAGCGGATGGAAATGCTTTTCTCCCAGATGTGATCAAGGTACAATGCGGCGGAACAACGGGAGAAAGTTTTCGGTCACGTGTTAAGTTGTTTTAGCATAAAGAAGAGCTTTATCTGATCTCTAAAACAATCCTTTCAGAGAAAAGCACTTTTGTTTCGTTTGTGAATATGTCTCATATTACTTGTACAGAATTAAACATTAGTGTTTATAAACATAACTGCAACAATCTTTTGCGTGGCTGAGAGTGATTACGGTCAGAACTCTACGCCAGAGGTACACTTTTTGAAACTTGACCAAGTTTCACGAATAAAGCGCACTCTTTAAGATCTAAAACATTTAACTGTAGAGAATATACTAATATTGAATCGATCATTGATCGACCTACGGCAGAATGTTTTCGACAAATGCCTAATAGTTTTTTACAATTGAGCTTCCTTACCAAATGTTCCTAGATAATTTGCTTTTCCAATGGGTTGCCTAATGACTTTAGAAATTCTCCTGGAATTTGTCCAATGCGTAAAGAATTCCTAGTTGTGCGATTTGATTTGTGTTTTTAAATTTCTTTTCTACTTCAAAATTCAAAACATCATCCGAGTTTCTTGTTGCTATCCAAACTCATACTACACATTTTTATTCAATGGGAGTATAAATATCTCGAATGTGTTTACTACTCAACAAGTGCAACGTCTGACTGAGATTATAATCATTTTTTTAATTTGAAAAATATTCTAGTGAATATATTATATTCATATATTAATCATTAACTTCTAAGAAATCACAAGTAATCATAACATTATTTTATTTTGCACTATGTTAGTAAATCAACGTTCGAACATAATTTAATAACTAGATTCCATTACCAATCGAATACTTGTTGAGTTTCGTATATATATTCTTATGTCTTATATATACCACAGCATATTATTTTTAGAGTACAACTACTTGGTGTAAAAAAGACAACACTGTCTCTGCAAATGTTACTTGAACTATGTTCACAGGTCTGATCCATTTTAGTTGATTCTTCAGCTCTTTTAAATTCTGTTCTATAACTAGTGTGTAATTGATTCCCTATTTAATTGGGGTGCGCCCCTCTACAAACCGTTTTCTTTGTGGATTAAAAATTATGCACTCTAATGATTATACCGAATTATTAACAGTATTATAAACGAAAATGCACATTACGTACATTCTATTTCAGCCATAATATAGAACAATATTTTCTTCTTTTCTCTCTAATATTAATAGACGTTTATGGATAGAGTTTTTTTTTACGAGTTTTTAGAGAAAATAAATTTTTTCTGTATAACTTGACTAATTTATTAGAAAGCATAAGGGTCACCCATCACATAGAGTTATTTTTGAAAATTTATTGTTTTCATCGTGTAGCCCCTACGTTGTTCTTTCAAAGGGTATATAAGCAAAAATTTTATCTGCTCGATAAATATCAAAATAGATGTGAAAAAGTGATCGTTGAGCGAAAAAACTAGATCAACGTTAAACATCTACTGTTTTTAGATGGCAAGACTTGCAATAAAAATTTACAATTAATACTGAATAAAGCTGTCGAATATTAAAAAATTATTCTCTAGCTTTATTCGTTCAAAAGATAATAACATTACATGGTTTTTTGACTTCATTGTACGAATATTTATTCTACTAGTGGAATAAGTCTTAATAACTATGGCAACTATCACAATACTCCTTGATTTTCCTACTCTTATCGCAATATATCGATAAAAAGTAGAGCTTTTATGATCATGGGCTCACTGTATATTTCCTCTATTTTTTTTCTAGGCAATTCGGCTTGAACTACATAATCTTGAAGAGGCAGCTAAAAAATCTTCATCGCCTGCAAACGTTAAATCAATGCCATTAGATAGAGAAGCTGAAATTCCAGTAAGATTACTCTCATCTCGTTATTTTAAAATTAAGATTTAATTTTTTTCTTATTCACGAACCAACTTAGGATATATCACCCCTAGCTATGCCCTATCTAACCATCATAGCCCCAGCCGAAAAGCTTTTTAGCACCTCGGGTGGTTCCCTCGTTAGAGAACCAAGTCATGTTTATCTCGGATTTCTACGGTTAGTAATAACAAGAGTTGCCATAAACTCGAATTTTAATTTTCATAAAGGAATTAAGCTGTGTCAGTCAGCCGTCCTAATTTATTTGCAGCTACTTATTCATATGTTCTATACCTTTTCCTCGAGCGTCCATTACTTCTTTCTCTGTTCTTCGTCTTCTAATTTTCATTTGTTACACATTAATGTTTGTTTTGTTGTTTTTCTTTTGTTTTTAGATGTGTTTAAAAGTGTGCAAAATAATGGAAAATGTCTTCTCCAATAAGTTTTATTTTTTACTCTGTTCACTTGATACTGTTGCTTAAGCATTCGAATTTATCATTTTTACGCTGCTTATAATGGGCGGTCTGCGTCCGATAGCAAGATACGATTTATTTATGTTCTTCTCTTTTTCATTAATAAACAGTTTATACAAAAAAGAAAAAAAATTAAGCTGTAACAAACTTTCTTATAGTATTGTGGGATCTTTGCGATATCTAAAATGAACAGTAACTACAATTCGTTCTCTTTACTGCGTCTTGTGGTTTGAAAGTACAGACATTTTTAGGATGTTTGGGGATGTCAGGGATGTTTCTTATGATAAAAATTCCAGTTTGAAACGTCAAATTGTTGCCGAGTTATATGTGTCTCAAGGGTCAAAAAAGGACTCGCAGCAGAAATGCTAAGACTTTTTTTCAGAAGAGCTACAAAACTCTCGGGGGGGTCTCAAACTAAAGTAGACACTTAGATGTTTTCCTTCCCTCTAGAAAATTTTTTCGGAAATTTCATTAGATAGCGAAGCTGAAATTCCAGTAAGATTACTCTCATCTCGTTATTTTAAAATTAAGATTTAATTTTTTTCTTATTGATGTAGGCCAATACACAAATTCAAACATCAGTATCGGTTGAACGAGTTAAAGTAGACTATCCGGTAAGTTATATAAACTTTATCTCATATGTTTGAAAAAGGACATTATTTATTATGGTTGTAGGCACATATTGCATTCAAAATGAAAACATCAAATGGTAAGCCGATAACAATGAATTTTTAATCTCTTATCACTAATTATTTCTAGAAATCTACAACAGATTGATCGTTTTTAAAAACCCTATTTTTTCAAGAGAAAAAGTGACAAAATTTTCTTTTCAATACAATGCTTTTTTACATATTTAGATACGATTATTCGTACTGTTACTGTTTTTGCTGAAGGCTTATTTAAAGGAGAATGTTTAGTTGTGTAAGTCTTTTGATGATTCAATAATTTAAATTAAATATCTATTTTCATTACTCTTCTAGTCATCCAGCTGCAAATCAAGTTCGAGAATCTTTAGTATGTCCGGTAATTCCACCTCGTGATATTGCACTTGATCTACATGTTCAAGTATTTGTTGGATTAAAATCAAGGTGTTTGTTTAGTCTATTGAATTCTCAATGTATTTCTATTTTTATTCTTGTTTTTTTTCAGTATATTATTTCATGTTTTCGAATTAAGTCATCCACTTCCGACATTTTCTATGTATGCTCTCATACCAAACACACCAGAAGAACCAAAAGGATTTGTCACATTTTATATCAATGAAAGAATAGCCAGAGTAAATCAAATTTTGAGCATGTAACAAAAATCTATTTCATATTTTCTATTTAATTATTTTAGATTGTTGTGTGGATCAATCATCATTTTTTGTTACAAGAAGAGTATAGTTGCTCAACAGCGTTAAATATTCAGTTTTTAGCATTAAGAACAGAGCAAAAATTAATCATCAAAATGCAAACGAATGGTCAAGTAATAATAGCTGAAAAACATTATATTCTTGTGAAAAATTGAAGTTTAATAGAAAAATAAATCTTATTTAGATGACAATTATGACAGATGATATGGAATTAGCTGGTAACATCATTCAATCAATGGCAAAATTTTTAAATATTGAAGATTTACAAACAACATGTGAATTTCCTAGTGAATTGGAAATACTTAGTCGTGTATTCTCACATGTATGTACTACATATTGTGTTGGACTTAATGGCAAATAAAAATATAATTGGGTTACTTTTAAAATTCTCTACAAACTGAGCTTTATAGCTAGCTAGCTATTCAACGGTTTATCAATCAGAAACTATTCGCAAATCATTCAGTCATGCTGTGGAGTTAGCTAACAGAGAATTTGGCTAAAACAAACACAGACAGCAGTGATTCATCAACATCAAAGTTTTGTATAGGGAATGATCATTGTAGTCTAAGTACTTATCAGTCTTCTCAGGATCTTTGTCACAAACAGTAGGTAGCCGATATTTGTTTATGGTGATATAGACGATGCTGCTGTAATAGAATATATTTTCTTTTTACATTTTTTTTTGCTATTTTAAATTTACATGATAGGCTGTCAAGCTATTAGGTCCTTCACATAATACAAACAAAATGAAAAACAGAAGATGGTGCTCCTACTCATCGTTCAAACGAGAAAGATCATGATGCTAAGTATTGTTCATTGTATCGGTTAAAAGAACTTCGAGAAGTGACCTAAGTTTCAGAATAAACTTCCTACGAGAAAAGAAAACAGTAAGAATAGCTTGTATCTGGAACAAGCATTATCTTATGGTATAAAATATGTAAAACCGTTGCTGATTCTCCTACGGATTACAAAATAATCTGACGCAAACAGTTGATAATGTCGAATCAAAGTTAGATACCAGTCCTGACATGTTTATAGTCAAACGTCTAATACCTACGTTGAATATGATAGTCATACCTTCAATAAGATGGTATTGCGGGTAAATGAACTACTGCTGATCATTATGGTCACGTGACTGCTCAGTTTTCTAACTATGAAAATACGTCCTGACAAAATGTTGTATCAATTAAAGAAATATTCCTTGGGACCATTAAAAATGAAACTATCAATAGCAGCAAGCAGGATAAATAAAATTTTCTATTATCGTTTAAGAGTACATTTTTCAGCATGACGTACAAATTTAAGAAAACATAAATTGATCGCTACTAACTTATGTGGATCTTGGCATTTGCTAAATCCAAGTCAACAACATGTTGAAGATCTTTCATTTCTTTTTGAGACGTTTCGCTTACCAACTGTATCGTGATACACTTTTTACACCCATTGTAAATGCAAATCTGAGTCCATCCATCGATCTATTTCTTTCACGTTTTGAACTCGATAGAAATAATTACCATTTTACTTTTAATGCTGTCGATTAATTCATTTCTAATACAACAAGATTTAAATAGTTTTGATGTCGATTTTCATATACTTAACTAGCTGAAATTGCAATGAAAGGTGCTACTCTCTGTTGCTCTAACACTCTGAAACTTCTGTTGCAACTATACTGAGTATTCTTGATTTTAAAGGAATCTAACATTGTTAAAAGTGTCTATGGGTAATGCTGTCATGCCATTCCAAAAAAAGTTCAGGAAACAAAGAAAGTAGCGTTTTCGTATTTTATAAAAGTTCAATAATTTTTTTCTGTGTATCTCGGAAACTGCTTCATACACCTTCTACAAAGGCAAATAAAGGGAAAATACTCATTAAGAAAATAAAAACATTTACCATTTATGAATAAGTGAATCTGCTAATGGAATTTCTACACGCTTTATAAAGAAATAGAAAAGATTAACCATTTTGATGATTTAAACAGTTGTGTTCTTTTTCTTTAGAAAACAAGTGTAAATAAATGGTTTACGGCTATATGTAAATAAAAGTAGACGAGTCCAGTGTAAAGCCTGTAAATAGAATTGTGTTGTACGAGATAGAACACAAAATCGAAATAAAAAAGTGGGTTGAATGACGATATAACAGTAAGACAAAAGAAAGATAAAAAATTAGAAAATACACAAACGTCTTCTTGGAACGATGCGCCTAAACGTTTTTGTTCGCCACTTTTATCGTCGGGTTCCATCTGTTGAGATGCTGTTCGATATAATTCACCACCTTTCGTAAATATAGAGTACTTCGGGGTAATTAGAGACACTCTTTGACATTTTCATCCTTTTTTTGCTATTTCTTGACCGTTTTTGATCAGAAAAACTTGCTACTGGACACGGTGATAGTCCGAACATTTTTCTGCACGCTTATGTAAAAAATGAGACGTTCCGTGACTCTGAGTAATTCTTTATAGGCGACTTATAACAATTTTTGTGGAAGCCCGAACAACAGTATTTAACTAGTGCATGCCTACTGCTCTCCATAACTTCATATCATCTTGTATACGACTCCTTGAAATGGGACATTTGTCGGATAACCTTTGTCTAAAAAGTCTTCGTACAAAATGTTCATCCATTTTTAGGTCACTTAGAAACGACTTCTGAGAACAAAAACCAGTTAGTTAGAATCAGAATTTGATGCTCTTTCGGAATACGTGTCCA